AACGGATGATCCTCTCACGGGAAGGTATTTCCGCCGGCGCATGATTCGAATCAGCGGAACGGCGCGTGAAGTGTATACATAAGCCCGATAGCTCGGATCGAGGACGGGTCAGCAGCTTCATTCGAATCACAGCTGCCCATGTTAACAGGGTAATTAATTTAAGGCGCATTTGTAACGACCCGGGCGACAAAGAATGTAGGCCGTTGACGTCACTCATTACGTCATGCCCGCAGACTCTGCACCGTTTGGTGTTTGCAACGGTCCGAACGACAAAAATTCTGCACGGCGCAGTGGCGTGGACGTGGGGGCGGGCACAGGGGGCACATGCCCTACTTAAGTTCCGAGAGGCCCTTCGGGCTCTTTTTTGATACAACCGATAAAGGGCCCAATTTGGGGGCCCGAAAAGCCCGAAAAGTCGACCGGCGGTGGTATTCAGGTGCTCCATCCCGGGGGGCCAAGCACTCCAATGCCAGCCGGGGGGCCCCTCTGCACCGATCGAGCTGCCCGTGAGTCGATGAGGGCCGTTAATTCGTTAGACAATTACGTAAGACCATGTAGGCAATCTCTCGATTAAATATCAAGGGGTCGGGCGACATGGATTGCTTGAGTTGCCATGGAATGACCCGCGCGTGTCTCGCACTGGTAGCTGATAACCCTATAGCAGCGCTATCGCACGCACGCAGTCGCAATTTTTTAGATTGAACATGAACATTTTTCTGTGGTCGGCTCGGTATGGTCATCACTCCACGGACAAAAATCATACCGGACGATGAGAGATTCACGCTGCCAGCCACTAGTGCTCTAGCAGTGACGTCCTGTGTGGAAGGATGCACTGTCCACGCGCACGTAAAAGTATTTAAAATTGGTCGCCGTGTCTGCGAAAATCAGCAATCCAGCGGCCCGCAACATTCAGTGATACGCTGCTGGGGGTCGACCGAATACAATCGGAACAAATCCGACGAGGGCGTTACCATCGCAGTGGATGCCCGTCATCAGTGCTATCAAATGCACACAGTCGCAATCGTTAGGTTTGATTAAACTACACCCGTTTCCCGGCCGCCGTATCCTGGCGATGGCTGCCCGCAATCCACGTCATCCGAAGGCTGGTTATGGTGAAAGTCGGCCGCAGTTTGCTCTGCGATTGCAAAGAATGATTTTAACAAAAAAGGTTATGTCGGCCGATCCGAGATTTGCATTGCCGGCGGATAGTACATCCACAATGGTATATCGGCGAGGCTGCGCCTTTCACGCACAAGTAAAAGTATTTCAAACTCGACGCCGAATCTGTGCAAATCAAAGCTTCGGACAGCCTTTAAGTATTGAGTAATACACCATCGGGGAGTCAGCCGAATACAGTCAAAACAAAAAACCTACGAGTGTGTCGTGTTGGCAGCTGATAGTCTTATACCAATGCTGTCGGATGCGCACGGTTGCCATCTTCGGGTTTGCTTTTAAGTTTTTCCCCAGGCCGCCGTATGATGGCCATTGCTCCACGGGTAGCTCGGCCCCAGTCAGCTATGCGCCGTCGAGGGGAGAGTTGAACACAACGGCCCATGTCGGCCGATGCAAGATTTATGCTGCCGGTCGATGGTGTTCCACAATCGCATGTGAAATGCCGCACCTTCCGTGCAGAGGTAAAAATATT